ATATATATATATATATATGTATAAAGAATAAGTAACAAAAGAGGAAGGGAGGTTAGTTTCTGTCTGGCACAGCCCAGAGGCACTCGCAGACATTTCTGCTGCATCAGTATAAAAGTATATAGAATCAAATATATTGTGGGGAATAAACAGAATTATGCTCCTCAAATTGATTTGCAAAAAAAAAAAAAAACAATCACATTGTAGTGTTGCTCACTGATGCCCACTCTGGCTGTGAGACAAGCACCCTTCCTGTGTTTCCTGTACGCTGCCTCTCCCTGACAGCCCCATACCCCCCCCAGGAGCTCTAGAACGGGGCTCTAATTACGAAACGCTGACTTGATGCCCCGCCACCCGCCCCATCCACATTGTCAGAGCGTAATCGCCATGGTAATTGAATGGAAATGCAAACGAGTGCCGCCGAGGGGCCGTGACGTCAGAGGCGCCACCGGTCGCTGGCGGTGATAATCGCGGTTTCAAGCGTCTCCTTTGCCATGGTTTTCTGAGGCCGCGAATCAGGGCCACGTAACGGGGGTCGTTAGCAGAATCGGGTCAGGAGGTGGTCATGAATCACGGAGGAGAGCTGCTGTTAAGCAGACTGAACTGAACGCGGCCAGGGAAAAGGAGAAGAGAAGCATTCACACTGACACTAAGCAAGAAGCAGTCCTATGTAATTACCCACAATCCTCCACGGCATCATGTAAGCAACTCCATCTGCTTTCCCTGTGTCCTAATGGAGGGGCGGGGCTTCGTAAACTGGATCAGCAGAGGGGTACAAAAGGCAGCCATGGACCGGACAGCCCACACACTTAATCAGGACCTATTACTGAATAATACATATGATTTTCCTACAGAAAATTACGACATTGACAATACATATATATACCATTGTATAATTAGCTGTAGTCATCTTTCATTTTTCATTTCCAGGGGCTTTCGAATTTATTTTTGTGGTCTAGCATGTTTAGTCATTAGATGAACCACAGAGGAATGAAGAAAACCATTATTACCGTTGTGATTTGTTTATAGTTCATGCTGGCTATTTAGTTGCTATGCTGCTAATGTTACAGATGATTTTATATCACGAACGAAAATATTGCTCAAAATATCTGCAAAGCCGTTCTGCCCTGTTGTGCATTTCGGTTGTTTCTTGTCAGGTTGCCAGAGACTAACTATAAACTATAATTTCACAAAAGTTCAGTCCCATCAAGGGCTGGTTTGCCGTCTTTACAAGAAGGAATCTTGGTTTGACTTTATTCCAGTGTCTCCTGGATCACCCTTCAGAACCCAGTCAGCCTTACAAACTACACCTGATCAGATCTCCTTACAGACTCACACCTGATCAGATCTCCTTACAGACTCACACCTGATCAGATCCCCTTATGAAGCCTGTGCCCCCCCCCCCCTCTTCCCCACAGGAGTTTGTGATGATCGTGGTCTTCGGCCTGGAGTACATCATCCGCATTTGGGCGGCCGGCTGCTGCTGCCGATACCGAGGCTGGCAGGGCAGGCTGCGCTTTGCCAGGAAGCCCTTCTGTGTCATCGGTAAGGGCACCGGGGGGGGCAAGGGCGCCGGG